ACGACCCCTAGCCTATCTCAGCAAGGCACTGGGCACTACTCGGTTGGGTCTATCGGTGTACGTGAAGGAGATGCTAGCAGTTGTCGAGGCTGTAAGGTGCTAGAGGCCTTATCTATTAGGCCGACGTTTTCAGATTATTACCGACCAACAACCGCTCAAGCATCTATTGGAGCAAAGGATTGTTACCCCCGAGCAGCAGAAGTTCGTATCTAAGCTTATGGGGTTTGACTTCGAGATAATCTATCGACCGGGTCGACAAAATGCAGTAGCCGATGCACTAGCCCGACGAATGGATGTAGCCGAGTTGAATGCTATCACTGGGCCTACTTGGACCATTTGGGAAGAGATCAGGAAAGCGCAAGTAGAGGACACCCATTGCCAGGAGCTGCGCCAATCGATAGAAGCAGGTAAGACAACTGCTATCGACTATGAGTTGAATAATGGTCTACTTCTATACCGAGGTCGAGTCTATGTTCCCGACAGTGGGCAGTTACACGAGCAGATCATGCAGCACTTCCATGACTCTAAGGTTGGAGGCCACTCGGGTATCTATCGCACGTGGATGAGAATAGCCAACACTTTCTTCTGGCCCGGACAACAGAGTACCATCCAAGACTACATAGTACGATGCGATGATTGCCAGCGCACTAAGTCTGACTCACGACGACCGAGTGGGCTATTGCAACCGCTACCAGTACCCGAGGCAATCTGGGAGGACATTACTATGGATTTCATCGAGGGGTTACCGAATTCTAATGAATTCGACGGTGTTATGGTGGTAGTGGATCGTCTCACGAAGTATGCTCACTTCATACCCATTACCCACCCTTACACCGCAATGTCAATTGCCAGGTTATTTGTGGAGTATGTAATGAAACTGCATGGAGCACCACGATCCATTGTCTCTGATCGAGACCAGATTTTTATGAGTAGCTTTTGGTCTGAATTCTTCAAATTGCAAGGGACTAAATTATCGTCACCGAATTCTGAAAAAAAATGACAAAAAAATTTGTCATGAAAATGTGAGTTTTCGTCACCGAATATATTTGATGACGAATTTTGAGTGTCACAGAGTTTGTCACTGTAGCCGCGTCATATTAGGTCTAAATGACAATATTTCAATTTTGTCATATAATGTTTTGAATTTGTGACAAAAAATATTAATGTCATTGTACATTTGCGAGATTTGGTGACGATTGATGTGTCACATTTGTCATGAA